ATTTACAATGTATATAAATGTAAAATAATTTCATAAATAAAAGAGCGCCACACGCGCCCGAAGATGGTTACATCATCAGTATAAAAAAAAAAAAAAAAAAATTATTTTTAAAATATTTTAATTATATTTTTAAAAAAAATGATGGTTGTCGCCGGCGGTGACAGTCACCGAAGCATGATCAACCAATCAGATTGTGTAACGTTATAATTAAAACAAAAACAATGCATCGAAATTTACTATCATTAGGGCTGGGGTTAGAGCCATAGTTAAGGTTTGGTTAGGTTATAGCATATAGTAAAATTTTGCAAAAAATTTTTTTTGTTAGAACGCACAATGTGGTTTCATAGATGGAATTTCAAGATAATGGCGATTTTTTAAAAAAATCAAAGTTTTCACATTTTTCACATTACACATGATCCTGTGATCTAATTGGTCGATCACACTCCGGTGACTGTCACCGCTGCCGACAAATAGATTTACTCATATTTTTAATTATATTAATTAAATTTTTTAAATTAAATAACAGATAAAATAAAAAAATATAATTAAAGTATTTAAAATATTTTATTATATATTAATTTAAATATAAAATTATTATTATATAAATACTATATAATAAATATATTACTAATAATTTTATATAATAAATATATATTAAAAATATTTTTAAAATATTTTATTAAATATTATTCTTAAAATAAGTTAATAAAATTTTATTTTATTATTTTATATTATTATATATATAATAAATATTTTTAAAACAACTAACTAAACAATGTTTATATAATCAACATTATTAATAATATCAATATATTAAATACAGTACTAGACAGTATAAGATATCTACTTTTTATATATAAAACTTTAAATTGTAATAACTTTTTTAAAATGTGTTAAATTAAAAACTTTTTAATAGATTAATAAATTTTTAATCAAACTATATTTCAGTTAAAAGATTTTTTTATTATTTTTTGCTTTAAAAAAGTTATTAAAAGTTAAAGTTTATAATAATTTAAAAAGGATTTTAGTATTTATTGCTAGTAGTGATACAGAACTCTGAAATATACATAAATAGATTAGATTAGTGTTTACTTATTTTTTAATCATTTTTGTGCAGATTATTTTCATTTTTAGAATTAGTTTGCTTATTTTGCATTTTTTCTTGCAGATCCTTCTATATTAGTAATTTTTGCAAAACCTTACATCTCAGTATATATTTTAGGATCTTGGTGATAATATCATCTCCTATTTCTTTTATTAAATTTAGAGTTAAAATGCAATTTTAGACCAAGATTATAATTAGATATAAGGGCCTAAATCTTTGTTAAGGTTAAATTTTTGGTAATTCTGAATATTTTTACTTAGTAGTTTGACATATATTAGCTAGTAGGTTTTTGAGATATAGTATCTCTGACAATATTGCTACTAGCAATAAATAGCAATATTCTTTAAAAATTGGTATTTAATACAAAAAAAGATATATGTTTCATTAACTAATCAAAATTAATTATACAAAAATTAGCTAATTAAAATTGATTATATAATTATTAAAAATTAGCACTTTACAGTTAGACCTCTTTAAGTATATCTTCTATAAGTACACATTTTTTTTAAATGTATGTTTAAATTCTGATTTAAATATATTTTTGATCTTTATAATTGCATTTTTTCTTATTATTCTTTAGATGCATATTGCTAAAATGTGGTTTCAGAAATATACACTTAGAGAGGTTTAACTATATATTTATAAATTAAATATTTTATATTATTTAATACTGTATAAATCACAAAACCTATTATAAATTATAATAGAATATATCAATAACAAAACTACAAATAAAATTTTAAAAATATAATTAATTAATACTGTATATATATGGGTATTTATTTTTGAACTCAGATCAATTCATACTGTATATATAACTAATAATATTTTGGTCTGGATTCAAAAATAATTGTCACAGATTAAAATAAAATCTTTTCAAAATGAAACTGAAGACCTCTTATACCCACCCTTAGAGCCTATAAAATCTACATATTCTCATTTATTAATAAATCTAACCCTAAACCCTACTCCTAATGCTAAAAAGAACCCCAAAAAATGTCTCCCAAAAAATTTTAAATTTTCCTTAAAAAATAAAAAAAATTCGTTTTGATCAGATTTCATTTTAATCTGTAATAATAATTAGCCATATAGACTAAAATAGCAGCAAAAAAACTATTAACAAAAATTATTACTAGTAATAGCAAATCACACCACTACAAAACTATTAATGAAGTTCTTAAATGTTATTTGAAAAGATTAATTGATATATATACAGGCTGTAATAATGAAACAAACAATTAACAGTAAAAATTACTACTGATAATAATAAATTATACTACTACAGAATAATCTAACAAAGTTTTTAAATATTATTTGAAAGGAGAAAAATAAGTTAGTTAATATATACATAGCTAAAATAACAAAAAAATAACAACTAGCAACAATCACATCATCACAAAACTGTTCTTAAACACTACTTAAAAAAAAAGTTATTTAATATATATATATGCTATATATAATAGCAGAAAAAAGAACAGTAAAACTTGCTATCATAAACTTTTGATGAAATTCTTTAGCACAATCTAAAAAGAACAAATAATTAATATATAAAGCTAGAACAGTTAAAAAAACAAAACTCTTCATCAGCAATAACAACTCATGCTACCACAAAACCACCAATGAAGTCTTCAAGCTCTATTTGCAAAAAAGGGAAGAAAGTTAATACATACACAAGCTAGAACAACGCTAATGAAGTCCTTAATATACGTACGTATATATCTAAGCTTTTATTATAATTGTCTAATTTTTGTAGATCATCCTGTGATATTGATAAAAAATTTTATTGGCTAATTGAAATTTATCAAAATTCTAAACTTTAAATTATCATGAATAAAAAACGACAGGGTAAAACCTGAGTCACCAGCTAGTAAAATTCACTATGTAAAGTGAAATCTGCTATGTAGATTATATAAGAGTTAAAATCTGCTTTTGTATAATAAAAACATAGCAAAACTCGGATTTCACCCTTAACCCTCTGATGAATCAGGTTTCACCCTGTTCTAAAATAATTATGTATAAAATTATAAATAAAATTAATCATAGCTGTGACTAAATTAATACTGACAAAAGTCTTTATCATGAAATATTAATAACTTTAAATCTAAAACTATAATCTTGTCGCAGGCAAAATTCTGACAACCCAAAATTTTATTAAGAATCAAAAAAAAAAAAAATAAAATAATAAATACAAAAAATAAAAGCTTAAATCTGTTCTAGAATGCTAATAACTAATAAAAAAAATTATAAACAACTTTTAATGCTTCTCTATTATCAGATCGGTCTTTAATACATTTAATAATCATTATATAGTTACAGTACTGCTACTTTGCTTTAATTTCTTTAATGCTCCTCACAAAATATATAAACATTATAATCTACAACTTCATATTATTAACCTATATTATAGGCAAGTTTCTTTATGAGTTGGGATTATGAAGATAAGTTTTCACAAATAAAGAGAGAATAGATTGCTGAGTTTAATTGATTTATTGCACCTATATACTAAATACAAATGTTTAAACATACCTCTCATCTAACTTCTGAATTATTTTGTGAACTACCGAATTATATAAAATGAAACATTTGTTTTAAGATTTTTTTAATACAACTTTCTACAATTCGTTTTTCATGATATACAATTGGTGTAAAGATTATCAGTTGAAAGGGGCAGATTTTTTCGATTTGCTTGCCAATTTACTTATTTGCACAGGTAATACAAACCAAAAAAGGAATCAACTTTTGTAAATGTTAGCGTTAGGGTTGAGAGCTTTAGGGGTAAATTGGAGTTCAACCAAGATCGATTTAAACACTAGTTTTTAAGTATTTTCGCTTTTCTTTTTTTCTTCTTTCGCACATGTTTAGATTCTATGTCGGAATACCTGAAATTAGAGGTTTGTATTATCCGTGAAAATAATTAGATGCCTACTAATCTGCTTATAATCAATTGCTTTTCTTATACATATGTATGTACGTATTATTAGATTTAATTAAAATGTGTAAGCACTTAAATTTTTTTCATGTAATAAGGGTGAGTACTAGATCCAAATCTACGTTTAAAAATTGGTTGAATGTACAATACCCGGGTCTTGTATATGAACTTTTATGGTAATTGAGTGCTGCCAAGCAAAACTAGCAATTTCGATTTTTGCCAGCTCCACTTTCTGATCCGGTTCCTGATAAATTTAAATTAAGCACAACATAAATTATATGCACAATTCTCTGTTTTCGCTTGTTGACACCCAATTATAACTATTCGCAGTTGTTGGATATAACATTAAATAATAAATGATAAAAAGATATAAAAGAAGTTAATAAATATTTTTTTTAACAAATTTTTTAACTTGCATTATTTAATATATATAATTTTTTTTTTTCATACAATGTATAATATGCTAAATAAGCTATATAATAGCATGAGATTTACAGAATAAAGCAGTTAATTTTAGTAACTTAGGAGTTCCCGCACTGCTAACAACTTTACCACTTCGAGTCTGGTTGGTATTTTCAGATCTATAGTGTATTCATCGAATTTTCAGATGATATTTTGTGTATTCTTATGATTGTCTTGAGCAATTAGAATGGCTTTAATAATCTGGCATACAAAAACACCAAGCGCTTTTAAAGTTTCAGCATTTTTGTTTAACTTTGCTTGATCAGTTGCCCTTAGATGCATTTGCAGTAACAGGTTCCATACTTCGTTAGAAACAAATTCATCTAACTCTTCATATAGATTTACCACATTATTTTTAATTGGGTAGAATCATTTGTTTAATATTAAAGAGCATTAAATATTATTCGTTCATCATTATTACAAACCTTTCATTTAGTGATCTAAATTCATTCACCAACTTTACTGTAGCTATATGAAACTTATAACAGTATGTATTATACCAGCCGCCAACATCCTTGATTAAAGATCCTAACCTGTGATCAGTTTTTGCAATGTTGCAACTCGCATGATTAACTCTTCATATAAAACTGTACTGTTATTCCTAGTTCTAAGGAAGAGTGCTTTGTACTCTTTCTGTAATTGGAATTTAATGTGCTATATAATTTAAAATAAAAGATTAGTATAATTATTAGAACAAATTTATTTTGTCACTGGCGGTGATAGACTCAGATTGTATGATTTAAAAACCTCAAAAATTTCTGATCAAAAAAAGCTCAAAATTACGGTTATGAAACTAAATTCTGTATCATAGCAAAAGATATTTATTGCATAATTTTACTATGTATTATACCCCTTTCTTTTATTATATAGGAGGATTACTGAAATTCTGGGTTGAAAGCATCGGAGTTAGCAATCTGAGTTAGTACAGTCTATAGTAAAATTGTCAGCTGGGCATTTTTTTTACAGCCAATCAGGATTCCGATGCCTTTCGATCCAGAATCCCCTATAAGTTGATCTTACTTGATCAATTTCTAGAAGTTTTAATACAGGTTCACGTGATAGAGTAGATGTTGAAGTTGCATTAGACACTTCATCTATTCTTGTCATCATCCCATTTCTAATATTAGTTGCCAAATCTAATATCCTTTTATGGTGCGCTAGCTACAAAGCAATTTCAAATTCATTATCTAGCTGTTTGAATTGTATTGGTCATTTTGATAATGAATTATCTGCTATATTTAAAAATATTAAAGCAATTAATTTGTATATAACATGTTAGTATTTATATAAAATATACCTATTACATCTATAAACTTAAGGTAATAATGTTACCATTTCTGTAATTTGGCAAAGAAATATTGTTTTCGTAAACTGGCAAAGAAATATCATTTTCGTGAACTGATGAAGAGATATTTCTGTGAGCTGGTGAAGAGACATAAGCTGGTGAAGAGATATTGTTTTCATGAACTGATGAAGAGATATCATTTCCGCGAACTGTTGAAGAACTATCATTTCTATAAACTGACAAAGAGATACCATTTCCGGGAAGTGGTGAAGAGATATCATCTCCGTAAATGTCAATGTCACTTTCATTATCTGACAAAGAAACATGAGAAGATGCAAAGTTATTATTTTTGTAGCCTATTAAAGAGGTAGTATCCTCTTTATATCTTTGATCAACAGTTTTATTTCGAGATAACGTTTTGTGAAATGACTGCTTTTTTTGAAAATGTACTATTAGTATTCAACTATTATCGCATTTTTTTGAAAAACTAAGCTTATAATAGAATTATATTTTCATATTTTATTTGGTTTACGTTTTTGTGTTCTCTTGGGAGCCGAATTTTTAGCTTCATTATCTAAAATGTTAATAAGCAAGATAATAAGCAAAATAACATGTTGAAAATAAATAATCCTATATAACATACCTGTTCGCTTTTCAGCTGTGGTTTCTTTTGCTAATTTTAATTCTAATATAAGAAATATATTAAAAAAACTATCAATATACATATGACAATGTTGTCCTCGTAGTGCTACTTAAAAAATTATCAGTAATCTTTAAAAAACTTTAACTTACTAAATACTTGTTTAGACATATTGACTTGAAGTTGGAGAATAATCTTTTGATACACTTTACTGTTTCTTTATTGACCAAATAAAAGATTGTGATTGAACACCTTTTTATGCAATTATTAGATCACTTGCATCTGTCAAAATAACAAATAAACTATATCTATTATACTATTTTTGTATGTCATTTACATGATTATCAGAATTAATCAATTATACGTTTACATACTTACATATTAATTTTCTGACGGTTATTTCCTTGGAAATCTATTTTAACCGATATCATACTGGGTGAAAATTTACTAACAAAATATAACTGCAACTAATAAATGCTAAATTATCATCCTGAGTAATGTAAGTGGCTTGGCGGGAGAATGACTATCGGGAATTTAAGCAACATAATTCAAACAAATTACACAATGAATATTATTTAATAGTATATAGTTATTTAAAGTATACTACTGAATTTTAGAGCT